GGCGTGTTCAGTTGGGAGTGCTGTCATTTTAAACTGAATACAATATTAACAACAATGGCCTGATATAGAATGGAGCTGTATGTTATTTTATTTTTTTTTTCAATCGTGGAACTTAAACTCAGCACTTGGAAGTTCTGCAGAACGTGGCCCATTACATATCTTGCCTAGACTAGAGGTCAGACATGGGTCAATTTGCGTGAATATATTAAATATACAGACGCGCTAGACAGTGAAAACATCGCAACGAATGTAGTAACTCGTTGATAAAAGTGGTACTCCTTTTCAGAGACTTGTAAAAAGTCTGTCGTTTTTTGTCTTTAGAAAAGTTAAAATAATTTGAACAATAGGATTATAATCATGAACAATGAGCGCCGGCTAACCCCGGAAATGTGCCAGCGATGACGGGAACTCTCTGCCGGTCAAGGAGCTTCTGCTGACTTCCCGGGTGTTGTCCGAGAGCACCGCGGGAAACCGCCCAGTTTGATTTTGGTCACTTCCCTTAGTTTACTGCCTGCAAAAAATGTATGAATATGTAGCAATTAGCATATCATGTTTAATTTCTAACCATATATTTCAATTTTGGAACAGTAGTTAAATACATCTAATTTCTGTTAATACCAGACCAGCCAATTATTTACTCCAAGCAACATCTCAAATATGGAGTATGATAGCAGTAAAAGTTCTATTCTACATGCCAGGATCTGTTTTTGTTGCCAAGGTCTACAACATTTATTGACAAAAATTTCAGGCATGAATATACTCACATTTGAATGGAAATGTTTGTTGTCTGTTATCCTTGATGGAATTCTTAGTGTTAACTCTTGTTGGAACTGTAACCATGGTAACCAGGAAGCAAATGATGACTATTATGCACGTCTGCCATGGAAACTACAACTATGGGTTATTCTTTTCCATATGAGCAAAAAATTGTTTAAAACTTTGAGATATGATTCCCTGCTTCAATGTACTTTCAGTATCTTGCAATGGTCATTGCTTTGATTGTTGTCAGTCATATTTTTTTTCTAATTCAACAAAGCTTAATTATTTGTCCAGCCATCTGTTGCCGAATCAGAAAAGTGAGTCATGTGGTCGCCATCTGATTCGTCGCTTTACAATCGGTTTTACGGTTAAACAATAACTGCTGCATGTAGTAAAATTAATAAAATCATTTTTTTCATATATATATATACATGTACATGTTTAGCAAACACTCAAAAGTTATACATTGTTAAATCTACCTGGTAGTACAAACTGTATCTGTAAAAAGGTTTTATTTTTCAGCGGGATTTCATATTCACTAGCAATTTTTTTAAATCACTGATTTGTAAAATAAACAATAAATTAACTACATATACATTTTATTTTAGTGCTTTTATTTGTCAGCAATTATAAAAAAAATCAATCCAAGTAAATATTTTGTTTTTTAGGCCTAAAGAACTGTTTTGCTTCTTGTCCCAGATAAAATAACAAATGATGTTGTATTAATATTTTTTTTCCGGATTACTATCTATCTTTTTCATTCAACATTTGCAATAGTGTATGCACTTTAAATGACAGATGTTAGTCTATTCTCAGGGGTAGACATCCGGTCATTTTTCACCGCCTGGCAACCATCACGTTGAAAACAAAGACCGAAAACTTTCAGAAAACAGCGCTTTGAGATGGTTGTTGAGACTCCCGTGTAACAAGACATACCCCCCTGTATGTCCAACATATATAAATTTGGTTGTCCAGGATCACTTCAAAGTTGATTTTGTGCTGTTTTCTAGAATTTAGCTATTTTCACCAACTCTTCGACAGGCTCGTCAGAGCCCATAGAAATACATGGTACAGTGGTGCGCGTCTTGGCAACGTAGAATGTCTTGTGACGTAGCTCCACTCCTGAGGATAGTCAAAATCAGTCAAATTTGAATGATAAAGCATATTATAATTGTAAACTTTGGCTCATCTGTTCTTGTATTAAATGGAGATGTGTTGCTAATAGAGTAAATATGGTACATGCTTTAAATGAATGCGTTGAAAAATTAAAATTTCTACAGTACGATGAGATGCATAACATCTAATGCATTTTATCTCAGTTTTTAGCTTCGCTGTCATCACAGATGACCCAGCGAAGCTGTTGGTATGGGGGTCTCTCCGCCGTCGTCCGTCCCGCGTCCCACGTCCCCTGTCCCCTGTGAAGTTTTCCTTTAAACGACTTCTTCTTCAAAAGTACTTGACCAATTACATTCATATTTGTACCAAAGGTACATGGGGTGGTCCTCTATCAGATTTGTTAAATTTTAGTGAATATTTTTGTCATTTTTGGTAAAAAAATGTTATTTTCGACAACTTCCGAAACCGCAAGTCCAAATGCTTTGATATTTGCAGCAATGGTACTTGGGGTGGTCCTCTGTCAGATTTTTTAAATTTGTGTCAAAATATGCAAATTTGGATTTTTAGTGAATTTTTTTGCCATTTTTGGTAAAAAATGTTATTTTCGGCAACCGTCAACCACAATGCCACTTTACTGATTCTTTTTCCATGACAATGAAGACACCGGAGCTATTTCAACCATCAGGTCGCTTGTTTAAAGACATTTATCAAGGTGGATATGTACCTGTAGTTACGTCATTTTCTATTGACACCGGCATGTCAACATGCATACTGTAATTTTTCGATTACCGGTAGAAGGGCATTGTCAAAATAGGTCAATGTATTGGGGATCTGCTTCTCATGGAGCAAATACATTAGCATGTCTGGGAAAGATGTAATACATTAGCATGTCTGAAGAATTGCAAGTGAAGTCACAATTAAGTTACTTGCAGCCGTGATATAAATACTGATACTGTTCAATTTGTTTCACAAATGTGATTTTTGGTAAAAATAAATTTGATCACTCAGGGGTTTTGTTAAGACAAGTTGAAAAGCTTTCTACTTTGCTGGTTCAGCCAGATACTTTTTATCATACATGTATGTAATTAAACTGCAGAAAATCATCACATTTTGGCCTTCTAAAATTAGCTGTCTTCTCCAGGACTTAGCAAATTACTGATTTTATTCAGTGACCTAAAATACATGTACATGTAGGTGAAATTTGAAAAATTATATTCACCACCCGAGGGAACTCGTTTATTTGGTAAAAATCTGAATAAAAAAAGTGTTATTTTGCTATCATTGTTTTCAGCATAGTTTTCATTTTTTTTTTTTCGTACACATGAATCTGTACACTCAAAACTGTCATTTTTGTTTATATGGGACCTATATCTTGTGCATGCATGACACGATGACCACCACCCTTAAAACAAATTAATATGCGATATGTCATACATGTACAATGTAGAAGTTTCACCATTTATTTTCAAAGCGAACCTGTTTTGCGATATTTCTGTCTTTTATTTTTCTGTAGAACATGACAATTGTAACGTATTATTAGAAGATGGATATCACTTAACTTACTCAGACTGGCAGCCACGTGGATGTATGATGCACAAATACACAAACAGGTGAGAAATAATGTTACATGAAGGACACAATTTTGGTGACATCATGTCTGGTGGTCATTGCCTTTGTCATTTTTACTATCATCATAGTTGACCCATAGTACTCAGCCAATTGGAAAGTCTAATTGCTATACTAACTGACTGTATAAAAACAAAATAAAAAAATTGGGTGAGAATGTGTAATTATTAGTCTCAGTCTTCATTTTGTCGCCAAAAACTTAATTTGTCATAACACATGAACATGTTTGAACATTTTGCAAAATAATGGGATACAAATTGTAATTATTGTTTTGAGAATTAATAGAATCATTTATGGCTTTTTCAATAATTAGTAATTCATATTTTTTGGATGAAACTAGGCATAGAGAGACGTAACATTTGATATGATATGATACATTGTATGATATGATCTAGCATTGGCAGGTTTAGCAAGATTTCTATGCACATGACGACATTTTAATGATGGAGCTCTGTAGATAGTATACTAATATTTAAAAAAAATAACATTGTGACAACTAACTTAATATGCCAAAAATGGACATTCAAAAAACTAGGTACACCCCCTCCCCCAAAATATATACCGATAATGCAAGTTCATTGTTCAAGCATTCAAATTCAAAACTACATAGCTGAGAGTTTCGTCAATCTGGCAGGCTTGTACAGTTATCCAATCAAATACGTAAATTCGCCCAATATATCTCTCATGGCATCGAAGTATGGTAGCGATGAAATTTCAACCTTTCAACAACAAAATGGTTTAGCGAGGAAATGTTACGATTTTGACATGTATGCATTGTTTTAAATAACTCGTACATTATGTATACATGTAGTTACTGTTATGACATGAGCAAAAAGCTTGGAGTTCATGTTTTGTTAAAATCATTGTTGGTTTGACGGTAAACCGAATTCCTGACATAATTTATCAAATATGACAAATCACTGAAAAGCCATGGCAGATTTTGATTTGATTTATATTGTCAGCAGGTTATTCTTGTTTAATCATCAGTTTCACTTAGTTTGAAGCTGATAAGTGTTGTTTCTGTTAATTTTTATGCCATTTGTGTGCTTCACAGGGAAGCTCAGTACTGTATGAAAGACAAGCATATCATGTTGCTAGGCGACTCCAGGGTTAGACAGTTATTCTTTGAAGGTGCTAGAACACTTAGTGACCGTCAAGTAAAAGAAGCCAAGTATCATGAGAATCTATCACACCAAGACGCTTCAGGAATTAAATTAGTAAGTTCTTTCTTTTACAGCCATTTTGTCCCATACTATGTTTACCAATTTATTGTAGTTTTCTTACAATACATAAAATACATACAATACAATAAATTGACTGCACTCTAGAATTTTGATCATAAGTTTTTAAATTAAAAATTAAAATTAACTCTACAAGGTAACCAAGATATATTTTTATAAAATTAAACTTTGTTTTCTAATTTGTGACTCCTGTGTGCGAAGGAGTCTTTGAATTTAGTGCGTCTGTATGTGTGGGTGTGTATGCGTATGTGTGGTACCAACGTTGTGACAACTTTACACTGACTTGTTACGACAGGACCTACATTCATTATTATTCAATTATTTTCATAATTTATATTTGATCAAATTTAAGTCAAGTTTGCATAGCTTAGGTTTAGTAAAGAAGGAAGTCGCAGGATATTCAACTTTTATTTTATTAAACTTAATTACAAAATGCAATTCTACATTGAATTTCATTGTAACAGAGTTTAATTAAACACCAATTAAAACGCTACTCTATATAGGAATGCGTTTTAATCGAATTCATATCGCAACTACATTAAAAGTTAATTAAACTATATTAAAAGTTAACCCAATGTGTGGCATTACAACTACGCTAAAACCTGTATGGCTGTATATGTGTGTGTGTGTATGTGTGTCCATCTGTTCTACTGATATCTCAAGAACCATGTATTGTTTTTAGTCCCCGTTCGGACACAGTCCGAAAACAGGGACTTATGTTTTGTCCTCTGTGCGTCTGTGCCTGTATCTTAGAAATGTTGAACAAATCACAATCAAACTTCACTTTATTATACATATGCACATCAATTTGTTTCACGATCTGATTTTAGATGGCCGAATGGCGGCCATTTATGTTCTAAATATCATCAAAATCAAGCATTTCTCAGCTGTTTACAGACCAATTTTGTTCAAACTTGGTATATACGTTGGATATTTTAGGACCTTGATGCACATCATTTTGTTTTCAGATAAGATTCAAAATGGCCGACTGGCACCCATTTTGTTTTAATAAATGTAGTTCGAGTGCCATATCTCTCATGTCATAGATATACAGCTATATTGGTTTGACGATCCTATTAAAAATAGAACGAATGGTGGCCATTTTTGTGCTAAAAAAATCATCAAATATCAAGCATTTATGAATGGATTTTGTTCAAACTTGGTACATACATTAGACATTACGAGTTCCTGATGCACATTATTTTATTTTTTAGATCAGATTCAGAATGGCTATCTAGTGGACATTTGTTTTAATGGATGGGCTTCTAGAGCCATATCTCTGACATGCATTGACTGACTATGTTCAAATTTTATATATTCATTATACATGTATTCAAAATGTTTTAATTATTGCTATTCCATATCTCTCAATACTCGTTTGACGATCAGATACAAATGTCAATCATTTAAATGTTAAACAGTCATCATAATTATATTCCTGACATGTTTATATTCCAGCTATATTACTATAAATAAAACTATATGTCTTAAATTCGATAACTAACGGGGACTGTGCCATGCATGGCTTGTTTTATGAAACTTGGTGAATAGATGCTCTTGGCTAATACGCAGATTTTATTTTATGTTTTGTTTAAAATCATGCTTATTTATTACCTAATTTGCATGATAAATATCTAATTTTTAGCTGTTCCACTGTTATCTGAAGTGCCATTCATTGGATTTTGATGAAACTTGGTACATAGATGTGTGGACTAATGCACAGATTCATGAATATTAATTTATTTTTTATTAGAATTAATCATCTTGTGGTGAAAAGGTTATCTATTAACAGATTTTATGTAACGGTGTTAGTACATGTATATACATGTATATGAGGTTATTATGAGGATACCGAAAAGATGCATGAAGACATTAAAGTGAAGCAAAGGTTGATGCGACCACGTACTGTGTGAGTGCATCTTTTCCTCCCAAAGATACATCATGGGAATGCTGAAATACAAAAAGTTTAGAACAGATTGAGCGAACTTTTTTGTATGGGGTCTGGTCAAACCCTGGGGGCAGCCATGTTTGTTTTTATTATTAGCGGATGTTTACGCACGTAATCATTTTGATTTTGCATTTCCTAACATGCTAGGATGAAAATACCCCGTAAAATACCGCAAAATTACGGCAGGCTGTGGCGTTACGGTGACAGATGTATAATAATTATGGTAAATGGATAATCTGTATTTTTTCAAGGACATCAAGTAAAACTCTTTGATCATTTAGGCAGTTACCTTTGATACCCTCGTAAAGTTCAAGTTCAGAAATATCAATCATTGTTCTGTAACACACGACAAAAGTAGCCTCATAAATTTCCAGGATGGGTGACCCTCAAGTTCAGGGGTCAGAATATGCCAGAGTGTGTGACCTTTAGGTGCCACAAAGTGCCAGAGTGTGTGACCTTTAGGTGCCACAAAGTGCCAGGATGTGTGACCTTTAGGTGCCACAAAGTGCCAGGATGTGTGACCTTTATGTGCCACAAAGTGCCAGGATGTGTGACCTTTAGGTGCCACAAAGTGCCAGGATGTGTGACCTTTAGGTGCCACAAAGTGCCAGGATGTGTGGCTTTCAAGAGTCATAAATAAATAAACGTGAACAAATAAATTGTCATCTTGAATCAAATTCCAGCTATCGGAAAACCACTATTAGATCTGTAAAAACGTGTAATCACAAGTATGTCAATATTATTTCTATTTTTAAATATTATTACTATTTAGTAGTACATGTATAATCTTATCTCAAAATTCATTCCATTTTTTACAGCTATGGTAAATAAACAATTTATTTCTGGTCAGTGCACATGTTAGTTTAAAATGGAATGCTGGCATTTTTTTTTTTTTTTCTGCCGAAATACTACATGTATAAAAATAAAAGAAGAAATGACAAAATAAAAATCAAGAAAAAAAAAGAGCTAATTTAACACCATTTTTAGAACGTCTCAGAACCAATTGTTTTCCTTGTTTTAAACCCTGATATGAAGAAAATTGAGTGCTCAAAAAAAAAATGAGATACACATTTCTGTTGTTATTGCTCAAATAGAATAAAAATAGAATCAAGTTTCATGATTTAAAATCAAGACAATTATAATATACGTGATAAATTTTACAAATAAAATATATAAAATATTAAATAACCAACTTCCATGTTTACTTTATGCAGATGACTTGCTTCTCCTTTCAGAAACCAATACAGGTCTTCAGAATGCGATTAATTCCTTGCAATT